AAGTAATATATTTTTATAATGATACCGTGCAAAGTGCGGGTAATCGCAATGCCAATGTACCGCTCTGTTTGACACCGGACTAATCGAGATCTTTAATAACGCATAAACATAATCAGCACAAAACGAGGCTTGGTTGTATAGATAGAGAAAAAAAAAATTTGGGTACTATTTTTTTTAGAATTCCTTTTTCTCAATAAAAACTTCGATTGTTGTTGAAATTTCCAAACCGAACAATAGTGTATCCGCACTCATCGAAGCATTTTTTACACTTGCAATGCAATCGGTTCTGCCAATATACCGCACTGTTTGAAACCGGACTAATCAATGATTTTAAACCCGCATACAATTTAACAGCACAAAACAAGACTTAATTGTGTAGAAGAAAAAAAAAAGGTTTCTGAATAAAAGATAATTTTGGATACTAATTTTCAAGAATTTATTTCCATTTTTCTCAATTAAAATTTTGTTTGTCTTAAAATTTTGAATCATAATGAATCAGCAATGATAGAATCATACATGATATCTTGCATAATGCGGGTATCAGTTTTGCCAATATACCGCACTGTTTGAAACCGAGAAAAAACAGACCAAAAATTCCAAACCAGACTATAATGAATCGGCACTGATCGAAGCAAATTGTTTATACAAGGCGCGCGTAATCGGTTTTGCCAGTATACCGTACTGTTTGAAAAACTAATCAAAGACTTTAAAACAGCACAAAACAAGACTTATATAAATAGAGAACAAAACAATCATTTATGAATGAAAAATATTTTTTTACACTAATTTTCTAGAATTTATTTTTATTTTTCTCAATTAAAATTTAATTTGTTTCAAAATTGAAGAAATACATTTTTATAATGTCATTGCATAAAGCGATTAACAATTCTACTAATATTCCGTATTGTTTGAAACCGGACTAATCGAGGTCTTTAGAAACCGCATAAAAGTATACAGCACAATACCAGACTGGACTGTGTAGAGAGAAAAACAATTATTTGAGCATAAAAAATATTTTTTTCAATTAAATTTTACTTCGTGTTAAAAATTTAAAACCGTACTATAGTGAATCCGCACTGACCAAAGCAACAATTTTAGTGGTACCACACATGGTGCGCGTAATCGGTTTTGCCAATGTACGACACTGTTTTCAACCGGATTAATCGAGGTCTTTAATACTGCATGAACAATACCTCGTAAAATGCGGGTGATCGGCTCTGTCGCACTGTTTGGAACCGTATTGATCGAAAACTTTAAAACAGCGCAAAATAAGACTTGACTGTATAGATAGATAATAAAACAATCGTTTATGAATAAACAATATTTTTTTATACTAATTTTCTAGAATTTATTTTACATTTTTCGATTAAAATTTAGAATATTTTGAAATTTTAAAACCGGACTATAGTGAATCCGCACTTTTTATTGAATTATTGTTTTTTTTTTCTTCAGAAAATTGAAAGGTTGTCTCGTATCTGCAAACGCAACAACACGAAATACACACGTAATAATTTATAGGTACGAGTCTGTTCGTGTGTGTATGTATGCATAGTGCTGTTACTGTTGCGCGTATAAATACAGAGTGTAGGTTCAATTGAGCCGTCGCTCACAATTTACAATCCGCGTATATAAATTTCCTCCGTCGACGGACAGAAAATCCATATTCAGTGGGATGGAAAGAGAGAAGGACAGAGAGAGAGAAAGTGAGTTAGGGCGAAGGAGAGAGATATAGTGTGAGTTGTTGGTGGTACTTGCACAAGAGAGTCTAGGTTCGGCCTCCTCCTCCTCCTATTTACACTTCGAACCTCCGCTGTCTCCGCTTCCGTTTCCGGTGCACGGGCTTGCCCCGTATCTCCCATTCTTATTTCCTTCAGAAAAGCAGAAAGACCCCCAAGCAGTTCGCTCTATTTATTTCGGCAAAACCATAAATTCCCTAAACACCGCGCCCGGCGCGTCCACCAAATTCCCTAATCCAACCATTATCTTAAGATTTACTGACGCACTGTAAAGTCTTAAGGTTTTATAGGGTATTAAATATTTCAATAAAAATATGATTATATTGAAATGAGTTTAAAAATGACATTTATTACAATAGTTACAAAGATTAAAACATTTCATTCTATATAAGTACATGAAAATATTTTACTCGTTACCACCGGATCTGCCTGTAACACCAGTATCGATATAATACAGAGATTCCAGTCGAAAACGCTGAGGAAAATCACCAATGCTCCATGGTTCTTCACAAACGATGACATCCATAAGCAAGCTAACATCAGTTTCGTCAAGGAAGAAATAGGAAAGGCTAGCACAAGATACCATAATCGGCTAGAGAAACACCCAAAACAACTGGCTATGGAGCTGATGCATACTGCAGAGCATCGTCGAAGATTGAAGAGATTCAAACCACAAGATTTACCAAACCGATTTNNAAAATATCGTATATGTGAAGTGGGGTTGCTGGATCTTCACTTCATTAATTATTATTATAGTGTCCTTTTTTAACTTACTTTACCGCATTCATAAGGCTAGATATCAATGTCAGATGATAGATTGCTTTAAAAATAATTAAAAAAAACTCGTTACCACCAGAAGAAGATAATTGGCTTTGACGTTGACAGCAAGTGTAGGGTGTGCAACAAGAACAATGAAACTGTCAATGAAATGAAAAATACAAACATTGCCGTCAAGGAGGTCGAGAAGAGATGCAAATTGAGATTGCGCGCATGCTGAAGACAAAGACCAAAGTGGTTCCGGTTGTGGTTGGAGCTCTCGGAACTCTGAAGATCGGATTCGAGAAATACCTGGAAGAGCTACCATGTAGAGTTATCCAGGGCCCAAGTAGGGCCCTGGCAAAGAAAATCTGTTGGCACGAAATTACCAAGTCACAACAGATGAAAAACATAATAAATATGTTAGCCCTTTGTAGCAGATCATTTTGTTTTTTTGATTTTTCTTGTTATATTATGTTATTTTTTTTTAGTATGTAGTATGATTTGTTGCAATAAATGATATTATTATTATATAAATATAATATTAGAATTGGTCAGAAATTGCTTTATTATATAAAAATAATGTAAATGTTTTTAATACAATAAATTATAGTTATTTTTAATTTAAAATAAAACTTTTCTACTTTTAATTAATTAGAATACTAACATTTACTGAAATTACTAAATTCATCATTTTTTAAATCATTGGACATGATGAGTAGCTTAATGGCTAAATGATTGGACACGGTGAGTTAATTACTTTTTAGAGAAGGGCTCGTAGGTGAATAAAGTTCGGGGTTATCTAAGTTGATCACATGATTGCACAAAAACGAAGAGTCAATTTTGCAATTGCTTTTGTTAATGAAATCTAATGGCGGTTGACATTTGTGTTTTTTTTGATAAACTTACCAATGGAAGTTATTACCATTATTTTCTTCTTTTAATTTGTTCGTTGGCTGTATTACTCTAAAATCTGGTTTTTAAGTGTAGGTTCAAATATTATATAAAATTGTTAATTATTTAATTAAAAACATAAAAATTTTGACACAAAACGAAAATATTAGTAAATACTAAGTTTCATGAAACAAACAGAAAATTTTCAAACCTCCTGGAATCACATGATAAAAAGATTCCTAATTTTCTGGACCCAACAAATTCTTAGACAACTGAATCAGACAACTTCATCATCTGAATCAACACCGGATGATATGGCCTATCAAGATTCATGATTGATATACCAACCAATTTAAATTCCTCTTTTATTTGTTGGTTTCAAATAGAAAATGAGATAGAAAATTAAAAATTGATTATTTTTATTAAAAAAATAAATTTGATGTCACAGTTCATAAAATCACAATTAAAGAAAAGAAAAATGTTAATAAATAATCTATTTTCCTTTACAAAAATAATAAATAATAGTTGAAAAGGAAAAAAATAATATAGGAAATTTAAAATTATTAATTAATTTAATATGATCTCAAAATTTACTTCTAATAGATTTATTATTTTATCAGTCAATATAAGTTTTCATACCGAAAAATATATTGCCAATATAAGTTTTGCAAGATTTGTTAATTTGTTATTAAAACTTCGTTCCGTTTTTGTTTTTAAATTCATCATTTTGGTTATAGTTAGGGTTCTATTAAAAATTCCTGGTTTCAGTTTGGTTCCGGTTCGACTCTAGAGTTCTATTGTATTTCATAAATGTAAACACATATAGTAAAACCCAACATAAAAATAATTAATAAAATTGAACACATTATTATTTCGTCGACAATTTCTTCTTTAACTAATAAAGTTTTTCAAATTTGAAATAACTTTATCAGAACAATTGTTTTTATTTTTAAATTGATGCATTATATACTTATATTACAAAATCTTAACGTTATTTATTTTACACAAAATTAATATAAAAAATTGTCTAAAATTATTTCCATTTATGACAGTTTTTCTAAGTTGAAAAACAAAAACATTTGGAAATGCAGTTTATTTACATAAAATTGTATATGTAAAGAAACAGATTAATCAATAATTCAATTGAAGCTACAAATATGGACATTGAAATGTTCTTAAAGTCATATATATAATATTTCTGGGTAGCCTTCAAACAAATTTTAATTAATTTTTGTGTTAATTATAATGCCCGGTATTTCGATATAATTATTTGAAATTAAAAGAAACCAAAATATTTATTCATTTTTCCTATTGCTTATGCTGAAATTAAATGGTTTAAAAAAAAATTAACAGTCAACTTTGAGTTTTATTATAAATTTCATTTTTATTTGTTGCAATGAAGAATATTCTTACTAATTATTATTTCAATTTTATAATATTAATAAAAAACGAATTACATCAAATATTTTAATTATTAAATTGTACAGGTTTTATTTTTTTTACTTTTAATTAGTACATTAATGGCGAGACTTAGGACTGAATACATAGAAATTACTTGGATAAAAAACACATGTTTTACAAATCAATCAATAATATTAATAATCT